GACCATAAAACAATGTTGGAGTGAGAGATTATAACATGGTTCGACACAAAGTCTTAGGCTTCGACACATACTGCTTTACAGGCCCAAATAGAAGGAAAAAAGGGTGTGTGATTCGACACACAACATTCTGCTTCAACTCATACTGAGTTCGATTTGGAATTACAGGGGAGAAATAATGAGACGTTCGATGCATATAAGCATGCTTCGAAACATGCTTCGACACATGCTTTGACCCATGTTCGAAAGATTTGTTTTTTCCCTCTCTTTTGCGCTGTTTTTTTAATATATTTTCATACTTATTTTAATTAAACAAAAGCCTTCCATAAAAAAAACCTAAAAAATAATTTCTTGATTAATTTGATTTCCTTTTAACTTAGGAATTAATTTTCTTATTTTTTATTAATCATATACCTTTAGATTAATTAGGTCAAAACAATTTTCCTAACAAAAATTCAAAGAAAAATCCATTTCTTTTTATATTCGTTGTACATTATCTTCATGTCATTTCTTGTACATTTATTCAATATGGTTGTAATAGATAATTAGGTTTAATTTATTGCAATCCCCATTTGTAAATTTATATCCCCATCCCCTAATGATGTAATAGCTTTGGATTTTAATTTCCGCAATTTACCGCTTTAATATAAATTGTTAGTAATTAGGGTGTGTATGGCAAGATAAAATCAACCGTTAGAAAACCCTAATTTCAAAGACAAAAATGCATGCAATCAAACACACTATTCACACACGTGCGCCTCTAGGGTAACCTCGCTTGTTGCTTCGGAAAATAGTCATGTCCCTCGAATATGGGCGTTTTAGCAAAGACCCTCGATAAAAAAGATCATAGTCCCTCGATGTCCCTCAATGTTGCCTCCGGTAAACGATTTAGTCCCTTATGAAAATTGCTAAAACATCTCATAAGTTGCCTTCTATGACTATACGATTGGCCCACGCCCGTCCCTTCACATCCAATAGTGGGGCTTCTTAACAAATCAATGGTAAGATAGCAACATCTAAAGGAGGAGGAAAAGAACAAAGACCTTTTGAGTAGGTAGGACACTCGTAGTTGCTTGATCACAAACTAAAACCATTTCCACACTTACACTTTCAAAACATCTTCAAAAACAAACATCTCTTTAAACTATTTTCAAAACCAACACTTTGTATAAATTCTTATAGAGACGAGAATCATTATAAAGTTTGCCGCAACAAAGGAGTTTTCAAAATATTTTCAAATTTACACCACAAAGCACATTTTCAAACAAAGCAAAAGTGATCTAGCAAGCAACTAAGAGCCTGTAGATAACTACGGATGAAAAGGGTGCTAACACCTTCCCTTTTCATAACCTACCCCTCAAACTCAAGAAAACATCTCAAAGGTCTTCTGTGTTATTTTCACCCTTTCCTTTATTGGATAAAAGAAAAGTCAGTGGAGACTCTTGTTATCCGCAACAATTGCGATCAAACGCAAAATAACAAAGTCAGTTCTCCCACCGTATTACACTTTCCATAAATAGTCAACGACTTTCCATTTCCACTCTTCTTTTCCATTTTAAAATTTTCTTTAACAAACTTTGAGGGAGAATGATGTAGATTAAATAACTGAATTTTGCTAAAATATACTTTCAATGGTAAGACCGATCTGACGATGTACGACATTATTTCAATTCATAAACATTGGAGAAATAAGGAGTTAATCCGTAGTCAACCCCCTCGAGCCAGGAGTTGGAGTTTTGTTCTATTTTTAAAAGAAAAACCTTAAACTTAACTAGGGGAAGGTAGTCTTTCAATTAATTCAATGGCGTATTCTATTCTCAAGAGAAGTGATTTATCTAAGCAAAAGGTTCAAGCATATCTCTTTCCTTGATACATCATTAAGGAAATGATCTAAGCAAATGTTAAAAACACATCTTTTTCCTTACATTCATCATCCAAGATTAAGGAATCAACAAAGAAAAAGTCCACGACGTCTTCTTCCTCAATACATCAATCAAGATCGAGGAAACGATGAAGACGAAACTTACAACAACCAGTATGACAGTCACAAGTGTCAAAATCAAAAAGTAAAAAGAAATTCAAAAGAAAAATATAATAAAGCCCTCTAAGTCAAGTAAGAATCGAAAAAAACTTGACTTAGGCAAAAGGTAGGACATCCCGATGGACCAAAAAATTCAAAAGAACCGGTCTATGAAAAATAAGGGATTGAAAACAAAATTGGAGAACAATCTTGTGACTGCCACCTCAAAAATCATCAAGGGATCTTATCAATGCTCAGATCTTATCAATGCTTTTCATCGATGCTTGGATCTTTATCTACGCTTCTCATCATCTGCGGGACTATAAAATTTCTCTTGGAGATTAAACACATTTGTTGCATTAATTGAAATTAGGACTGGAGGACATCAAGGAGAATGGGGTGGGCTAAACAAATTTTAAGCCTTATATCTTTTGTTTCTTAAGCCATGAACCATGGCCACGTTACAACCTTCAAAAGTCCTAATTGAAGCAAGGTTAACTATGAAAGCATACTCGGAAAAATTTGCATTAAACTGACTCTCGAGTTTGTTAAAATTATTACTAACCATTTCTTCGAATCTCCATCTCTAATCATCCATTTCTATTCAAACTCCGATTTCAAAACTCGCATGTGCATCAAACAAAATTACTTTTTCAAAATGTATAATTTTATCTACGAATCAATACTTAGTATCAAGGAGATCTAAAAAAATTGGTTTAATCAAAAGCGATCCATTTCAGGGGGAAAAGCATCTAAGGAAGAACACTATAATCATAGGCAAGACTAATGACCGTAGAGGTATATCACATGAAGATACTATTGACAAGGGGTGATCATTTCGAGATTCAATCAACTTGGATCAAGTTTCAAAGAACTATTTAAATCAGGGGCATACCTTTCGAAGGAGCATTCCTTAATCAAGTCATATCACAACATGGTATGACTCGATTTCCTCGTTTTAACAAACCTCTCAAGGCCTTGATAATCAGAGGTAACCTTCCAAAATTCAAATGTTGAGGCAGTACGTACCAAGTTCATCCTACTGCACGTAGGGTTCAAGCAACTTCAAGCACAAACTTTTTCAAGCTTCGAATACTTGGGACAATCTATGTCAAGTTCACGGTGAGGTCTAGGTTCTTTCTGAGGGTACTTCCTCCAAATCCTGGAGATTGATGGGCACATCTTTCAAAATTCAAATGTTGGAGCAAACCACTGCGAGGGTCGATCAAAAGGAGTTGATTCAAAATGGTTCATCAAAGCCAAACATTTTCAAGAGTTTTTTAATCAGGAGCATAGTACAAAACAGTGGGGTCATTCATATTATGATCAAACTATTTCCAAGCTCATATCAATGAGAATCTCCTCAAAGACCTACCAACAAATAAGGGAAAGACAATCCACATAGGGGCAAGCTCTCTGCGTACTTTCATAATCTCTAGTGGATCTTTCTCCTACATCAACAATCTTCAAAGTTCAAATCGAGTATCGAGAAATCATGATAGCATAACATTCAACCATCATGAGACAAGCAACCTTGTTGCATAGACAACCCCTCTACGTATTAACCATCCACATCAATCAAAATCATACGGGTCAACATAAATTATTGTCATGCATTCATTAGGTTACTTCGATCCAGAATTAAGCTATGCTTATCATCTCATCCGGCTGACGACTTCCGACAGCATGGATCTAACAAAAAGCCCAATTCTCATTGGCACATCGAAATTTCAAAATCCATTGACGCATATCCAAGTCACCTATTACATGTATTGGTCGGTTATTCTACGCATTAATGCCTGCATCTGCATGCATACATGACATATCATAGACCAAGACTTAGGACCCCGCAAAAATCTATAGTCAATTTCTAGGGGAGTCACTATTACAATCTCTAACATCTCTCCGATTATCCCTCTCAGCGAGTCTATGATACAAGTGTTCTTCGTCAAACTAAGGCGTGAGCAACCTCACACAACCTCATTTCTTTGTCCATACGTAAACAACCTTATGTAAAAGTCATGAGTAGCCTCACACTTTCCAAATCACTAGATTAATGTCTCTAGGTAACCTTACCAATGTTAGCGACCTTGCTATCTGTTTCACCTTTCCAAGCCACCAGACTGATACTATTCCAGTAGTCCTACTAACGTTGGTGCAAAGGCCAATTCCCGTCTGGCACGTCTTTTCAAAAGCCCAACCCCTAATTGGCATGGTTTCTAAAAAAAATAGTTCTTGGCTGATAGCCTGCCTTAAGCATTGGTTCCGCAATTCAAATAACAAGGACATTACATTTATCAATCATTGCATCATTTCAATTCATAACATTATCATATCAAGCATACATACCATACATCATGCATACATAAAGCATAATCATATCAAACATACATACATACATTACATTCAATCATATATGCCCATGAAAACTACGAAAAATCTCAAGGCATGACTCCCAACTAAGACGAACTCAAATTCAAATCCAAACTTAGCAATATCCATTCAACTTACTATCACTATAGCTATCTCGATTGAGAACCGACACAACCGTCAAAGACACCGCTATAACAATTATTTTGGGATAGATGAATATTTATTTTGATGAGAAAATTGTATTTATTATCAAATATTTTAATACAACAATTTAACCATTAAAATAAAATAAAAAATAAAACTGTATAAAATAAAAAAATAAATAAAACCTGCTCCATCGAAAAACAAAATCAGCCGCTGCCACATCCCACAGTGGCCTTCTAAGCACTGAACAACTCAACTCCCCGGAAACGTAACGGTAATTCCTCACCGGCCGCCGGAAACAGTGTCAAATCCGTTCAGGTATTTTCTTCTCTTTTCCGATACCAACGCGATTCGCGGCCGCCGATCTCCACACCGCACCGCGATTAACAACAAATTCCTATTCATTTTCCTTCATTGCCATTTTTCTCTAAATTTTTTGTTTTGTTTTAGTGAATTGATAAGGAAAATGGCGTTTAGAGGCAAAGAGATGATGAAGAAAGTTCTGAAGAAAGTTGGAGAGAGGAATTTGACTCCACGAGTGAAGCAATCTTTGGAGAAATGTCTTCCTCGAAGCAAAGTTGTCATGAATCGCGCTAAGCGTGGTCTATTTGCCGGGAAACACATTCAGTTTGGCAATAGTGTTAGTGAAGATGGTGGTAACAGGTTTGTATTCATTTCTTTGATCCACTTTCTTCTAGTGTTTGTTGCTTTTAGTTGTCAACTAGGTTAGATTTTTTCATGCTTTAGCTTATAGGGTCAAGGTTGTAATTGTATCCTATGGAGCACAGACATTGGAACACGACACTGATACTGATATGTGGACACTTATAACAATTTGAAAAAATTAAATTAAATATAATCACGAGTGTCGGTGTTGGTTTCAGACACAAACACAGACACACTTTTTTCAGAGGTGATTATATCCGGATTTGCAAATTTTGGACAAAAGAATAGCTTAATGTAAAGGAATGAAGCTATGAATCCTAGACTCGGATATAAAACAAATAGACACTTGTAGTAGCTTGAGAAATAGAAGTTATTTTATGTAATCATATGTTTCAATGCATATGAAGTTTTGACACACACTAGACACACCTTTAAGAGAAGTGTCAGTGCTGTAGAAGTACTCGGTGCTATGTAGGGAATAAGAGATTCGTGAATTAAGGGTATAAGGTATCCTATTCATGTAGAATAGGAAACAACCATAGCTAAAGGATTAATGCAAAAGAAGCTTTTCGATGTTTTTCTCATTCAATCCCCTTTCTTTCTAAGTGTCTGTTTGGTAACCCGGTAGAATACCGCTACCGCATGTCTACAGCCATATCCACTGTGATTTTGAGAAGCTACAAATAGTAGCTTTTAGCAAACTTGAGTTGATACCGTGATTTTTCAAAATTCCAAACATAGGCTAACAAGGAAATACTGTCATAAAGAGCAACAAAGAGAGCCATGAAAACCTGAATGTTCCTGGTTAATATTTTTTTCCAAAAAGAAAGATTTTCTCTTTGTTTAGATTGTTTAGAGCACCACGTATCCACAGGTAAAGTACACTGGGATAACTTTTTGCAGCGTTTCTTCTTGACAAATCCTTTGAACTTGAACATTAAAAATAGCTCCAAGCTTCGTGAGCCAACCAAAGTTTACCTTGAAACACTAAAATGTGTCCCGATTGTAAGTAGCTACTGGGAAAATACCGTCCATCTTGTTAGCTCAGTTACATCACCGTGATAAGCATCTTGTCAATCATAAAATGCCTATGATTAGGGAATGTGGAATGCAGAACTGTTACACGTCGTTATTAAGAATACTATGGTCAAGTCATTGTTATCACTTGCAGGTTTTATTGCTTGCAACCGTACTTGGCTTGTTTTCATGGCTTTTTCTCTATCATCTCTCGTTTTCATGGGCGGTCTTCATGATTTTTTCTTACTTGCACTTTGCTTGCATTAACTGGTGTTATACTAAATATATTCTGCATAGTTTGTACAAGTCTCTTTCCAATTATTACAAGAGATGAAATATGATTCTTAATTCATTTGATTGGTAAAATAACCTTGGCATTTTTCCATTTATATAAATATTGCTCTGGACCCCAGTTCTGTTCTAGTAATTGTTCACGTTTGAGTGATTCAGTTAATAGTAATTTTTATTTGTTCAGAATGCAAATGCTGAAATACATTCCAAGTTACATGACATTTTTATATTCACATGATCATATTTTATTGAAATTTGAGTATGATGTTTTGTTACACAACTCAATTCATCTCAAACAGTATATGAGAAGGTTCCAAATTAAAAATTATAAGAGTAAAGGAACTGATCATCCACAAGGGGAAAAAAATAAGCAATATCATTTTCTGTCCCTTTAGGTAGGATTGTTGAACAGTTACAATTGATATGCCAGTTGTCTCTTCACTTATTGAGTGACTAGAATCCAAATCATTTTCAATCATCTACTTTTGATGTAGGCTGGTTTCATTCACTCACTTAAACTGTCATTTTGTTGGACTCTTGTAATGCTGATTGAGTTCGAAACTTTACTATTGACCTCATTTTTTGTGGTTTATACTTTATATCTACTATAATTGTTATAAAATTGGTCTTCTCAATTCATTAGTTTTTTATGTTTGATAATAACAATACTAGTTTCTTTGATGTTTGATAGGACAAGGAGAACTTGGAAACCTAATGTCCAGGACAAAAGGCTCTTTAGTTATATTCTAGATCGGCACATTCGTGTTAAAGTCACCACACACGCTCTTCGTTGTATAGACAAGGCAGGTGGAATTGACGAATACTTGCTGAGGACTCCTTATCAGAAGATGGACACAGAAATAGGCCTCTTGTGGAAGGCGAAGATCGAGAAGCTGTATGAAGAACTTGGAACAAAGGAGGTTGTATTCTTTTCGCCAGAGGATGAAGAGAAGTTTGAACAGGACTTTAAAGATTTGAGATTAGCTGAAAGGGAAGCACGAAAAGAAGTAAGAAAAATAGTGTACGCTGGGATGAACAAGCATAAATTAATTGAGGTTGAAAGTAAGGACGGTCAATCTAGTGACGAGGGAGCTGTTAAAATTGAGGGAGAAATCTCACACGATTCATCAAAGCGATTGGTTCCTGTTTCATATGTGTTAGCTGCCGACAAACTCAAAGTTGGAAGTTATATTACTAATTGATGTTATGTCTGATAGTGGCAGTGTAAGTTGTTTTAGCTCAGTGAGTATGAAAGTCTTGGTTATTTGATTTTTGGTTTACCCTGGTTTTATGCTCTAAACTTTCTGTAGTCAAAAGCATAAATTTTGTGCCAAAATAATAGTTTATTTGTTGTAATAGAACGAAATTTCCTTGATGCACTCTTAGTAAATCTAAAGGGTATTCTAGCAAGGATATCGCCTGGCTGTTTTCTTTTCCTTTCATTTTCTTCTTATGAGGTGATTGGAGAGTTAATCTCATGGAGGGCTATTGCAAATACAACAGAAAATAAATATAGAAATACTACTATAAAAGTTTTTTTTTTTTAACAAGTGGTAGAAGAAATAGGAAAAAGTACTTTGCTATTGAGGCGGTTCTTTCCAAAAGTTATGACAAACTCAATTCAAAGTTAATTGGAGAGTTCTGAAGGAGATTAAGCTCTCAGAGAAGATGATTAATTTCATTATGCATGTGATTACTAGTGTGGAAACTAATGGAATGAAGATAAAGTGGATAATTTATCTAGGGGATCTAATATGTCTTTACTTATTTGTGTTGTTCTTGGAAAAATTGTCTTATATAAAGTGAAAATTGCTGAATGAAATACTTCTCGTGCAGGAATAAATGACTCTTAGATGTTTGCCTGAATTGTTACTCTTTTACAAAGCTACAAAGGGTATAAAATAATTTTATTATGAAAATTCCCTAACATTTTTGTAGAATGTCTGGGAGTATGAAATTAGCAATGAAAAAACTATTTTTTCTCTAACAATTTTTTGGATTTAGGGAAATACATAATCTTGGTAAGTATTTAGGGGTTCTGTTGACAGGAATATCTCAACAACAACAACAAAAAAAAAACACTAATGTTATATCATTGAGCGTGTTAGTTCTAAGCTTATGATTTGAAAAGTTAACTATCCTTAAATGGTGTTTGGAAGAAATATATGGGTATTGAGAATTTAGAGGAGAGTATCACAATACCAACTTCCTCGATTTGGTTTGATTTAAATCATCAGTTTATTTGGATTTTGATTTTATCGGATCTGACTTGGACCGTCACAGCTGGCTCGAATTGGATTTGAATGAGATGGGAGATACATGCGAGACACTCCGATGATAAAATGAGAGACGAAATGAGCAGGCAAAAAGTATATAGGTGTGTAATGAACGAATACCTGACCCTCTTGGAACAAAGGGCATTTATAGCCCCCAGCGCTGGGCCAAGGTCCCCCTATTGGGCCGACCAGAACTGGCCCAATTTGGGACTGTCAGGTTTTACGTGTGTAGTGGGGACCCGCACGTGGTCCCCTTCCTGGATGGTGCTCTGCGAAGAATGAGGAAGGACGAAGACGCGGTCTTTTCGGGGCTTTAAGGATCCCGTAGCGTTCGGAGGGGGACAAAATTTGCCCTACAGGGAGGATGCTCGAGCAAGGCTCGAGCAATTCGAATCCTCTGGTCGGGGACGCTACTCGTTGCGGGTAACGGCAGACATTGCCACTAGGGTCTGTGGTCGGACACGTTCGGGATGGTCTGATTATGAACATTCCCCGAGGAGCTGCCTGGATCTGGGCCTTTATTTGCACTTTGGGCCAAGGTGGGCCCAGTCCAGAACAGGAGCCCCCCAAGTCGCTGTTCCTGGGACAGGAGTTATGACTTAATCTCAGATTGCTTTTTCCGCGGGGATCCAATGCCTGACCTATGGCTTTGCCTTTCGAAGCGTGCTCGAGGAAATCTCGCGGGGATCTCTGGGCTGCGTCCGTCGGACACGTGGCGTAGTCCTTGGGAACTGCAACGCCGCCCTAGTAAATAGGGTCATCATTGCCTAGGCGGGTAGGTGTCGAGGATGGGGGAAGTTCGTGTCTCCCCGGTGCGACGTTTCACATTCCACGTCATCTCTATAAATAGGACCCTTGGGCCCATAATTTGTTTCTCCTCTTCACGCTCCCCCTTCTTTCTCTGTTTCCACAGTCGTTGGTTCTCGTAACACCGTTGAGACCGCCACACCGTTCGCTGTTGATTACTCTCACCACCATTGTTTGTACTCCTCTCCTTCCAAGTAAGTGTCCCTTCCTCCTGTTTCTCTGTGTTGTAGGTAGCTTTGATGATGTTTTTGATACTAGAAACCTGTATTTGGAAGTAATGCCCGGTAGATTCAAGCGCGCTAGGCGCCTGATTCATGACTGTGTTCGAGATACATAGTTTTAGGCATATAATTCATGATATTGCCCGTGATATTCATAGTTTTAGGCATATAATTCATGATATTTCCCGTGATATTCATATTTTTGGTCGGCATACTCATGAACTGGTCGGGATATTCATCCTTTTAGGAAGTATGTAGGGTAGTCTCCTCGCAGTATTCTAGTGTCGGGTAGGCGAAGTCAGGAACTTGGTCGCGTGATTTATGATTCGCCCGGGGTGCTCATGTTATGCTCGTGCTATCCCTGATTGATGCATGGTCGGAGTTGAGGTGTCGGTGTTCGGCTTTAGTTTCGATCTGAGCATTGTGTACTTCTCCCCGCCTTTGTGGCGAGCACGTGGATTTGCTGTCGAATTTACCGGTTTCCTGTGCTTTGCAGGTAAATGGCCGATAATCCGGAATCCTCGAGACATAATGACGTCGAGGAAACAAGTACAGAAGAGAATGTTACATTGGTCGACACCATCGACGACCCTACGTTGGACTGGGTGGGCGCCGAGCCCCGGGGAATTGCTTCGGCGTACTGCCGTCGTAGTCGGTGAGCTTATACCGTCGTTGAGCACGGCGGCACTCATGAAGGTTTTCAAAAGAATTTTAGAATAATGAGGCCGACGATTGACGCCCGTATCTGCTCAGAGTTCACTGAGTATGCGTTCCCTATGTACGAGATTGTATTCAGGGATCTCGGTCTTAGGCTGCCTTTTAGTGACTTTCAAGTCGGGGTGTTCAGTCATCTAAACATGGCCCCCTCGCAGCTCCACCCTAACGTGATCGCCTTCCTCCGGGCATTCGAGCTGACCTTCCGTTTCCTGAGAATTGGGGCGACGATTCCCCTTTTCTTCAGGGTGTTTCATCTGCAACGTCAGTCTCGAGGAGGCAAACATAGTTGGGTATCCCTTAAACAGTCGAAGAGACTGTTTAGGATGTACATGGACTCGGTGAGGGATTTGAAAGATAAATGGTACGTGTTGCAGCCGGCCACCCAAACGGCCCTGGATTCTCTATTTGAATCAGAAACTATGGTGGTCGACAGGGACGGGGAGCCCCTTGTGGATGCTGAGGGTAGTCCCACAGTCGGGCGGATCTCCAGGTTCCCAATCCATTGGTGCTCGGGTCACTATGAGCACGGCACCGGGCACTATCATACCCCTGCGGGGAGCATGAGTGTCGAGGATAAGGAGGCCTATGCTGTCCTTTACAAGTATGTTGATAGCTTTTTCCCCGCCCGGTGGGTCACGAGGGAAGGGGATGACATTCTTGATGAGGATGGCTACCCGAAGTTCGAGGCGCGCCCTATCAACACCAAGGCGCTCGTTGAATGCCAATCCTACGGGCAGGCTGTAGATCTCCTAGGTTTCTTGCTTCTGCTCTTATTGTTTTATTCCATTTTTATTGCTTTTGCTCGCTTGTAGCTAACCCGGGTTCGCTCCTCTTTGCAGGTCACATGGCGGAACATCGAGAGAGGCTGTTGAAGTTGACCCAAGACAAAAAGATAAGCAAGAGGCTGGTGCGAGCACCGCAGGCCATGCGGATGGGCCCGCCGGCTGGTTCGGGCGGAAATGCCTCAAGTGGGTCCTCGGGCTCTCCCGATACCGAGCAACAGACCGAGCTGGTTGGGAGGAAGAGGGGCGGACAGAGAGTAAGGCGGAAACTGGCGATGAGCCCGTAGCTTCCCGGGCCTTTAGCTTACCGCCCTGTTTTGCGGAAAAGGATTTCTTCGAGGGGTTTCATCTGATAGTGTCTGATAACGAGGCCGACATTATTAAACGGCTCGACAAAGAAGGCCGGAGGAAACAACTCGCCGCCAGCATGGTCGGGGTAGTGAAGATGGCCGAGATGGTTGTGGTCCTTGCAGGGGAAGGATCAGATTCCTCAGACCGTGTCAGGGAATTAGAATCAGAGAAGGCTGCTTTCGCTGCCAAATCTCACAAGTTGAAGGCGGACCTCGAGCGGTCCGAGGAGATGTTTCGTGAGCAGGCCGACCTGCTGTCGAGGGAGAAGGAGAAGATCATGAAGGCTTCCGAGGAGAGGGATTGCCTCCAACTTGACAAGGAACGGTTGGAGAGCGACAACCAACGGTTGTCCAAGGAAGTCGAGGAGCTAAAAGCTGCTATGCTTCCTGCTGATGACGAGCCAGAGGAGATAGCCTCTTTGCGCACCCGTTCAAATTTGGTTGCTCGTATCCACCTTCTCGAGTCAGACTGTGTCGGTGCCCTAGCCGATGGGTTCGAGGCCGCGGTCAGTCAACTATCCGTCCTAAATCCGGGCATGAACATCGAGGGAGTCGGGTTTCTATCCCAGATTATTGATGGTCAGGTTGTGCCTCCCCCCGAGTCTCCTGACGTGGATGTCGGTAGTCCTGGGGATGTTTAGTATCAAGTTATTGTTTGGGCCTGCGTGCCCGTGTTCATTTTTTGGGGCCTGCATGCCCGTGCTAATTCTTGATTTCTTTTGGCCGTTGTGCCATGGTTTGTAACCTTGAATATTGCCGACCCTCTTGGTCGGTTCACTATTAACCTGTTTTGTGCATATATTTTTCGATGGATGTTTATTTTGCCTTAACCTGCTCGTATCTAGGCTAATGTTCGACTGTCATTTTTGTGATGAATATTTTGGTAAGTTTTGTTCTCGAGCGGAGATATCCTTTCGACCCTTTTAATGGATCGACGCACTTCGAAATGCGTCGATTGTGCGGAGTGGAGCCCGCGTGTCAGACGTATGACCCAGATCAGGGTCCTACGCTCGTGGCGTGAACTTCCCATCACGAGCTGGGTGTTCTGC